TTTAATCAACAATAGCTAAGACACAACAGAACAGAATAGAATAGTGAAAAATTATATATAAAATTGCAGGAACAGTTATTTAATTTCAGGAAATTCTATCCTCACTTAATGATATCATAAATGCCACAAAAATACTCTAGTTAGTATTCAAAAATATATAAAGAAACTTTTTCATAAAGAATTCTTTTCTGACTCTTAAGCTATTAGATTAATGTATGTCATTTAAGGAAGTATAACCACTAAAATATATCAGGTAAGATACACTGTCTTGCTTTTCTCCCTTTGTATTCCTTCACATTTTATCCCGGAAAGCAGAAATTTGACTTGTTTCATATTCCATGTAAATTTAAACAATTTACATGAGATTAAAACCAGCACAGTCCCTGCAAGAAAATATTCTGCTTAGGAAATACCTCTGGCACAATTGCTTGCAATAGGAAAAGGGATGAAAAGGAACCTGTGTGGTGGTAAAAGAAATTATTTGGACCCTTGTGTGCCTGTGGGGGTGGGATGCATTTTTGTGGACTGAAAGGGGAGATCTGGGTGTGGTCCACTCAAAGCAGGCAGTTTGCTTCAAACCCCCTCTGCTACTCCAAAGAAGAACAGAAATATATGAAGCTGTGGTGGATTATCTGAAAATGAGGAGACAGAACTTCTTCTGGAAACAGTACCTTAAATCTACCTAAGCTGCAGGGATATAACACTGATACACAGTTAAATGTCATTTTGGTGTTGAAGAGCATCTTCCAATCAGATACCTTTAGCTCAGCTCCCAACCTGTTGTACGCACCTTCTCTATCCCTCTTGGATAAAAATCTGGGGTGAATTTTCCTGAGGGGTTTAAATAAAACCATGACAGGAAGCTGCTGAAGAGCTGTTGGATGTAGGTGTCAGCTCTTTTCAGAAATTCCAGGTAGGTCTGGAAGCATCTTGGTGAAGGTATTCTTTCTCATTATGTGTTTGCACAGTGCCTGACAGAGAAAAGCCCCCCCGAAAAATAACTTTGTATTAAAAGTTTTTAAAGTATAGTTGAAGAAAATTGATGCAAAAATAAGAAAAATAACTCAAAACAATATTAGAGATTATTTAAAAATAGCTTTTTGACAATCTAGTACTTCAATTTCAGCACTGTTTTTCTATCCCAAATTATCTGCTTGCTTGTTTTGTAAAAAAAAGTTGACATTTTCAGATGCAGAGGAATGAATTCCAAGGAGTTTCAATTCTATGGTTTACTTTAAATTAAAACAGCATAAGAATAATTTACAAGGAATAGAGTCTGCAGGTTGTTGTTATCCTATAGTCTGCCTTAGACAGGCTGTCAGTTATTAAACAGTGACCTAATATTTTGCTCTCACTTTTGCTGCAAAACTGGAATTCTCTGTGCTATTTTATCAGGAAGTAATAATAGTAACAATAACAATAATAATAACAATTTTAAAATGCCTCGCAATTTAGGCCATTTTTAATTCTTGCTGTCTTCTTGAAAAAGCAAAAGAAATGGAAATATTTTCAATTATTCCTGCAGAAATTAGCCCATTCCTTAAGTGTTTATCTGTCATAAAGCACTTGTATACACTATTCCTAGTGGATGCATGAGTTAGTGTGTGAATATCTACATGTGCTTGCATGCATATTGTTCACATCCATCTGTCTTGTCATGCATGCATAGATAAATACATATATCAGAGCTCTGTACATGAAATTATCATTTCTAGATAGTTATGATTATTAAAAAGGAACTAAAGGGATCCCTTGAAAAAGTTTTCACATCTCATTATGGTGGAAGAGTTGACTCTACATACTAAATCCAAAAGAGTCCTGCAATAGCAGGCAGTGTTATGAAAACCCCAGGTGATTTGAAAATAAATAAGGCTGGTAATTCTTACTACTAAAAATTCTTACTACTGAGTTGCTTCTTCAAGTCTCACTAATTGCTATGAAAGAAAGTCACCCAGGCACACCAAATTCTTATTTATAGGTATGAGATGCTTTCATGTTAAGACAAAACTAATCTGAATTTCCTTACACATATCTTATTATCTCAGTCTCAAATAAAACAGATGTGAAATTCACAGATTCTGAACCTGTCCTCATGAGCTTAAACTTAGGGTAATACCTTCAGCTTTCATGCACTTGTTGCAAAAACCCTCAAAGCAGCTCCCTCCTCTCTATCAAAAAGAACTGTTATCTTTGGAATTAATCTCACTGCCTGTATAGAATTAATCCTATTTAATTTCAGTAAGTCTTTGTACATGTATTTATATGATCATACCTGCTTTTTCCAGGCATCAGAGGATTGCTTATGGAATTAATGCCCTGGCAGACTTTACAGAAGCTACAGTGTGGTATCGTTTTCTGGAGGCTCAAACACTGCAATGTTACAGAAATGCAATAGTGCTATGCTAGAAGAATGACATTGATCTTACCCATACTCTGCATTCTGCTTCCAAATCTTGCAAGCTCCAAGATAAGCTAGTAAGTGAAAATGGTGGCTTGAAGGTATTATGGAAAATGAAACTGAAAAAAAAAGAAAAACTGAAACAAAACCTCTCTCAGATGAAATAGGATAACATTTTTCTGACATTCATTGGTAGTTCTTGAGCCAGAATATACTCAAGCATATTGAGTTGCTTGCCCAGAATCTAGCTGTTAACAAACACATTTGGGAGATAATGACTACAAATCTTCCATTGTGCATATGCTGTGCGATTGTCTCATACCTTTTGGGAGAAAAGTTATTAGAGGAATTACACTGACTGTGGGCACTCAGTTTTAGTAGGTTTTGTCATGCACAGTATTTGCCACTTACATCCATAAGAGAGAATTTAAATAGTTCCAGAGGGTAAAAATTGCAGCCAAAAATATATATACATATAAACAGGAAAAATAAATCGACCGCTGAATGGTACATGAACTCAGTGCTTTGTTGAGTATCATCAAATGTTAAAAACCAAACCAAATCAAACACACAGATAAAAAAAAGTATCCTCTTTTATTAAGAAAGTGAATGCCATGGTTTTATAGGTCTTCTAATTCCCTGTTGTGATTCATTATCTCTGGTGGAAGACAGGGACTGCAGTAGCTTTGTTACCCATTTGTCATTTAGACAGACCTGTGTGTTATATAGGAGAGAACCAAAGTCAGACAGAGTTATTTTAATCTTGTGAGGTTGTCTATGTTTAGACAACTTTTGTTTGTGCTTTGTAGCCTCTTTGTGATGTGTCGCCTGACCTCTCACTCTGAAATACCTTTTCATGGGTTTTTATCTAAAAGAATCATTCTGTCACTGACATTTCTTTATTCACTGAGCTACAACCTAAGTGCCGCACAGTCAATAATATCCACTGAGGAAGATGCAAAACAGGAGGCTGGAGCACATCACCAGGCAGGACTGAGTTGCCTGAGCTGCTACTTGGTGGTGAATTTGGAAAAGTAATTACTGCAATATTTAGTTCTGCTTGAAGTCAATGCCATGCAGGTGAGGACTCAACACTCTGGGTGTTAAAGTTTTAGAGTCAGACTTCACATAAGTATCTGTATTTCTGACCTTTGGGCAAGTTCCTTCCTTGTCCCTTCCCTCTTGCAGAGATATGAAGAATGTACCTCTCACTTGATTTTTCTCTTTCAAAAATGCCTCATTGTTGTGGTTTTAAACCAGTAACTAAAAAATATTACTTATTTTTTGCTGTGCGATATGGATTAGAACAAGAGCAAAACAGACTTAAAACTTAAAAGGAATAAAGAAAGTTTATTAACAATCTACAAGAATAAGAACAACAGAGTAAACTTCCAGAAAAACCTTTTTATCCCTTACTACTTATTATTCCCTTGTTCACATGACAACAGAGACAAAAACTTTGGAACTTTAGTCCCAATTCTTGCTAGTCTTTTCATCAGTCTTCGTAGAGAAACAGAAGTCTCTTTCTGCTAATCTATGGAGTTTCTCACAAGAAAACTATTTCTGCTATAGTTTTCTATTGCCCTGATGTTAGTTTCTCAGAACTGCTGTTATCAGAGCTCACTCCTCTCATTTCACATCACTCTGAGGTGTGTATGGGCCATGAGTCTAGGGATGGCATTTTAAGGATGAGTTATTCAAAAGCAAAAGTTCTCTTCATCTGTCTCTGTGAGCTTCACTAGAAAACAGTTTTCTCATTGCCTCTCAAGGCTTCAAATCTTCCAGCACCTCACTGTATCACAATTACTCTACTTTTTACTCAAAATCTACACTTTGAACACTCCATTCCTCCCTACATACTCTATCATGAATTAAAGGAGTTCTTTCAGGACTTTATTGTCCATCTCCATAGCTTTAACAGAAAGATATTTCAGCCTATAAAAGCATCTCCTTATTCTCTACCTTTCCTGAAGCTTCTTTTCTTTCCTGTCACTGATAGTCTATAAAGTCTCTTTTCATGTTCTCTGGATAAAAAAAAAAGTTTAATCTGCAAGTCTCATCTGGGTAATGAAAAGGTTAAAATCTTGCCCAGGCTTTGTAGATGGTTCTGTGATCTCTGCCGGAGCAGCGGCTGGAGCTGTCTGCAATGGAAGATTCTTCATGGCTGCTCTGGAGAGTGTGGTCACTGTCTCAGCCCGCCGCAGGTCAAGAGCTTTTTTCTTTCTTTACTCGGCAGTCTCTGGTGAATTCAGTCACAGCAAAAACTGCAGCCGAGCCAGGGACCGGCCTGGCCCGGCCAGAGCCCAGGGCAAGCCCCGCAGGCCCCATCTCCCGGCCGGGAGCCACTCGGCCCAGCCCAGCCCCCGCCAGGGCCTCATGGCCAGGCAGGGAACAGGAGGCCGGAGCTCTGTTACCTTTCACAGCCAGGAAACAAAGAGAGCGAGAGTCCTCTGGCTTTACATCTTAAGGTAGGGTTCACAAGTTGATCCCACTTTTCAATGGTCAAAACTGCTGTCAATTCCCAGTAATGACCGATAATTGGTCAGGAAAAAAGACTCCCATCAGCCACCAGCAACTTCAACTTCCTTAGCTCCCAAAACCACCTTAAAGGTAAAGTCACCCCATGACACTCATCTACATCATGTTTTTTTTGGTTCTGGAGTATGCCCCTACTGAAATCTCTCCAGGAATTAGATATACCAGGACAGAATCATCTTCTGAGGATAAAGTGTGGTAAGTGTGTTTAGAACAAAAATTGCATTTCACCTGTACCTTCCTACTCTGTTGTAAAGTCTTGAACTACAGTAGATTGGAAATTTTTGTGACTCTCTATAACTTCAATGAAAGATAACACTTTTAGTATAATTAAGTAACTATTCCAAAGGTATAAATCAGGTCTGTAATGCCTGACCTGAAATCTTATCAGTCTGCTTGAAGCTACCTGGCATTTCTGGTTTGGATCCCAGCTGGGAACACCAAAAGAATTGATTTTGTCATTGTGAGAAGACTACAGAGCTGTGAGTGTACACTTATAAATGAGTATACATATTTATGCATGCATGTAAAAAATAGGATTTAAAGAAAAAGTCAGTTACATGTTGCACTAGCAGTGCATAAAAGTTTTACAGCAGAATCCAAGTTTATCCAAAGGAATTCAGTAGTGCTGTACTCAAACTCATTTTAAACTTGAACTTTTCTTCTCTTTACCATGGAGACATGCATAGCTAATAGCCTCTCAGATAACCAAATTCAAACTATTGTATTAAATTAGCCAAAAATTAATAACCAGAAGGCCCCAGAAGTGAATTAAAAGGAACAATGTGTTAACAACACTGAAATGAAGGGAGGACTGAGCAGAATTAAGGAATGAAGAGGAGAAAAGTAAAAAAAAAATAAAATTAGAGTTTGGTGGATTATATGCAAAGCTCACAGCAATCTCTATCTTGTGGTTTAAGGCTGGGATCAATTTATCTATATTTGGACATGCCTCACAGTGCCAAGGGGGGCCAGGAGCACAGGGAATCTATAAACACTTGCACAATAATTAACGCCAGCCTTGCTAGCACAGCCCAGGCAGCCCTGGCTCAGCATGCATTCTGCCCATCAGCAAGCCCTGGGAAAGATTCGAGTCATTAGGGAGAGCAGACTGTGTGACGTGTGAGTCTGCTTAGCAGAGCTGCATCTTTTTCCTTCTGGATTGTGTGGTGTCCCGAGCAAAGTTGATGTGCTGCTGCAGAAACTTAAAGGAGGTCACACCCGAGTGCCTGGCAACGGCCAAAGAAAGACTTGTGAATGAGAAAATAAAGAAGTTGGATACTTAAATCCCTGCATTTTTAAAGCAGTATTACTACCAAGAGCTGGATAACCAAGGGGTTGGAAATGGCAAAGCTATGTGGATTTCTGTCGACATGATTTAATGGTCTGCTAAGCATCATTAAGGATCACTGAAAGCCAAAAAACCATTAACTGAGTCTTGGGTGGGATATATTCCCATGTTCCCAGCAGGATAGGGAAGTGGATTCCTCTGCTCTCAGCACTACTGAGAGGTCACAGCTCTATGTTAAGTTTCAGGGCCCTAACTGCAGGAAAGAGCTTGAGGTGCTGAAGCATATCTAGAGAAGGGCAATGGAGCTGGTGAAGGGCCTGGAGAACAAACAACCTGTGAGGAGTGGCTGAGGGAGCTGGGGGTGTTTAGCCTGGGGAAAAGGACACTCAGGGGACATCTTATCACTCTCTACAACCACCTGAAAGGAGGGTTTTGTTAGGTGGGGGTCAGTCTCTTCTCACTAGTAACAAGAGACAGGACAAGATTGAGAAAATCTCCAAAAGGAGATTTTTCCCATGTTAAAAAAAAAACGTTCATGATGACAAAGTTACCTGAGATAAAACCTTTGTTCAGGAAAGCATCTGGTGACATGCTCTTGCCTATTGACAGCAATAGGGCTTAAGCTAATGCTAAAAATTAAGTATATGTTTAAATGTTGAAAAAAAGATGCATTCCAGGACTATGGACTTTGATGATTGAGTGGATATTTGTTTAAGTAGCATAAGGAAAACAACTTTATTGGCCCAGTTACATGACAGAAAAGTCATATATTCTTCTCTTTATGCTATGGAAATTTAACTGCTCACAGAAGAACACCAGAATTCAAGCAGGTAGTGTGTTGAATCCCACTCTCCCAAGGGAAAAAGAAAAAGTTATCAAACCACAACTTTCTACTTGTGAGGGACACAAGTTACTACATTTTCAAGCATCATTTGACTGTCACTCTCTTACAAGTTACAAGCAACATAGGCTAAACTCACACAGATCACCCTTGTGACTGAGTACATGCACTAAACATGGATGTGTCAAGATAGCTGTTCTTCAGTAACTCAGTCATTTGTTTTGGCACCCAGAAAATAAATATACATCTCTTTATGGAAGGTAATAACTTATCTCAGACTGTTTCAAATGTTTGTCTGATGGAAAACCTCCTTCCTACTGATTTTGCTATTTGAAGAATAGGTCCCTGTTTTCCAGAAAGATAATTAGAAATTTGCAGCAGACAAAATTCCAATTAGTATATTAATTTGAAAGCTTCATCATTGTTTTTCTTGTACTGGAGGAAATATTGATGAAGTATTCTGTCATATTTGTTTGGTTTTTTCATTTATTTACAGACTTCCTGTCACAACACCTTTTTGGTTATTTATCCCCTCATAGCACTTTTATAAGATTTTATGCATCTTTCCAAGCATGAAATAAGTACATGCATTTCCAGGAAATATATTTAACAGACCAGTGGGATAGATATTCTCACCGGGGTTAACAGCTCTATTCCATATTTGACTCATTATTTGAATGGTACAGGAGACAGCTGGTTTTGTTTGCAACATTTGGATCTTCTTTTCTGGATGTTATTTTTAAAATAACAGTAATATATGATTTTTTAAATTAACTGAAAGTATTCTGATAATAATAATTTTAACTTAAATATATGATTCCATTTCGTGTTAATAGAACAGTACTTGAAGAATACTTGAAGAGTACATGAAGAATAATACTAGTTGGACTGAACATTTTTTAGAAATGTTTTTGTGATAAATGTGTCAAATACTCCCCTCTTTACCATGTAAGAAGATACATTTTGAAATTTTCCTTCAAAATACGTTTAAATCTTGTAAAGATGTTTTTAAGTAAACTCCGTCCAAGGATTTTCAAATCAAATGCTTAAAAAAAAAATAAAATTAGAGTTTGGTGGATTATATGCAAAGCTCACAGCAATCTCTATCTTGTGGTTTAAGGCTGGGATCAATTTATCTATATTTGGACATGCCTCACAGTGCCAAGGGGGGCCAGGAGCACAGGGAATCTATAAACACTTGCACAATAATTAACGCCAGCCTTGCTAGCACAGCCCAGGCAGCCCTGGCTCAGCATGCATTCTGCCCATCAGCAAGCCCTGGGAAAGATTCGAGTCATTAGGGAGAGCAGACTGTGTGACGTGTGAGTCTGCTTAGCAGAGCTGCATCTTTTTCCTTCTGGATTGTGTGGTGTCCCGAGCAAAGTTGATGTGCTGCTGCAGAAACTTAAAGGAGGTCACACCCGAGTGCCTGGCAACGGCCAAAGAAAGACTTGTGAATGAGAAAATAAAGAAGTTGGATACTTAAATCCCTGCATTTTTAAAGCAGTATTACTACCAAGAGCTGGATAACCAAGGGGTTGGAAATGGCAAAGCTATGTGGATTTCTGTCGACATGATTTAATGGTCTGCTAAGCATCATTAAGGATCACTGAAAGCCAAAAAACCATTAACTGAGTCTTGGGTGGGATATATTCCCATGTTCCCAGCAGGATAGGGAAGTGGATTCCTCTGCTCTCAGCACTACTGAGAGGTCACAGCTCTATGTGAAGTTTCAGGGCCCTAGCTGCAGGAAAGAGCTTGAGGTGCTGAAGCATATCTAGAGAAGGGCAATGGAGCTGGTGAAGGGCCTGGAGAACAAACAACCTGTGAGGAGTGGCTGAGGGAGCTGGGGGTGTTTAGCCTGGGGAAAAGGACACTCGGGGGACACCTTATCACTCTCTACAACCACCCGAAAGGAGGGTTTTGTGAGGTGGGGGTCAGTCTCTTCTCACAATTAACAAGAGACAGGACAAGATTGAGAAAATCTCCAAAAGGAGATTTTTCCCATGTTAAAAAAAAAAAACGTTTATGATGACAAAGTTAGCTGAGATAAAACCTTTGTTCAGGAAAGCATCTGGTGACATGCTCTTGTCTATTGACAGCAATAGGGCTTAAGCTAATGCTAAAAATTAAGTATATGTTTAAATGTTGAAAAAAAGATGCATTCCAGGACTATGGACTTTGATGATTGAGTGGATATTTGTTTAAGTAGCATAAGGAAAACAACTTTATTGGCCCAGTTACATGACAGAAAAGTCATATATTCTTCTCTTTATGCTATGGAAATTTAACTGCTCACAGAAGAACACCAGAATTCAAGCAGGTAGTGTGTTGAATCCCACTCTCCCAAGGGAAAAAGTTATCAAACCACAGCTTTCTACTTGTGAGGGACACAAGTTACTACATTTTCAAGCATCATTTGACTGTCACTCTCTTACAAGTTACAAGCAACATAGGCTAAACTCACACAGATCACCCTTGTGACTGAGTACATGCACTAAACATGGATGTGTCAAGATAGCTGTTCTTCAGTAACTCAGTCATTTGTTTTGGCACCCAGAAAATAAATATACATCTCTTTATGGAAGGTAATAACTTATCTCAGACTGTTTCAAATGTTTGTCTGATGGAAAACCTCCTTCCTACTGATTTTGCTATTTGAAGAATAGGTCCCTGTTTTCCAGAAAGATAATTAGAAATTTGCAGCAGACAAAATTCCAATTAGTATATTAATTTGAAAGCTCCATCATTGTTTTTCTTGTACTGGAGGAAATATTGATGAAGTATTCTGTCATATTTGTTTGGTTTTTTCATTTATTTTTTTTTTAAGCATTTGATTTGAAAAATCCTTGGACGGAGTTTACTTAAAAACATCTTTACAAGATTTAAACATATTTTGAAGGAAAATTTCAAAATGTATCTTCTTACATGGCAAAGAGGGGAGTATTTGACACATTTATCACAAAAACATTTCTAAAAAATGTTCAGTCCAACTAGTATTATTCTTCATGTACTCTTCAAGTATTCTTCAAGTACTGTTCTATTAACACAAAATGGAATCATATA